GCTACTCCAACTACTACTACTACTACGACAACTACTACGACTAATACTACTACTACAACTACGACTACTACAACTATTAATACAACTGCTGCTGCTACTGCTAGTACTACAACTACTATTGCTTCTACTACTACAATTACTGCTACTACTGCTACTATTGCTACTACTAGTACTATTACGAGTACAACTACTGCTACTTCTACTGCTACTGCTGCTACTACTACTACTACTACTACTACTACTACTACTACTACTACTACTACTACTACTACTACTACTACTACTACTACTACTACTACTACTACTACTACTACTACTACTACTACTACTACTACTACTACTACTACTACTACTACTACTACTACTACTACTACTACTACTACTACTACTACTACTACTACTACTACTACTACTACTACTACTACTACTACTACTACTACTACTACTACTACTACTACTACTACTACTACTACTAGTACTACTACTACATTTCCTTCTTCTACTTCTGTCCCTGTGGAGTTTTGCTTTGCCTCAGTTTCTCTTTGACCTTGTTTAAATCCTTCGGGACAATCGACTGATGCAGCAAAGTCCAGTTACGAGTCAGATCTGTGGAGAATTCGTGTTTTTCACTTTGAGCAGTACAAATGTAAATAATTAAATACTCGTGTATGTATATTTAATGCCACACTACGGAACAATCCAGGCAAAGAAATGACATCTCCACAGAGACGAGCGAGGAGAGAACCTGAACCAGGAGTAAACCAGGTCTAAACCAAGTCTAAACCTGGTCCAAACCAGGACTGAACCAGGTCTAAACCAGGTCTAAACAAGGACTGAACCAGGTCTAAACCAGGACTAAACCAGGTCCAAACCTGGTCCAAACCAGGACTGAACCAGGTCTAAACCAGGTCTAAACAAGGACTGAACCAGGTCCAAACAAGGACTGAACCAGGTCTAAACCAGGTCTAAAGCTGGTCCAAATCAGGACTGAACCAGGTCTAAACAAGGAATGAACCAGGTCTAAACCAGGTCTAAACTAGGTCCAAACCTGGTCCAAACCAGGATTGAACCAGGTCTAAACAAGAACTGAACCAGGACTAAACCAGGTCTAAACCAGGACTAAACCTGTAATGAACCAGCACTAAACCAGGTCTGCATCAGGACTAAACAAGGACTAAACCAAGACTAAATCAGGACTAAATTGGTTCAGAATCTGGACTAAACCTGCACTAAACCAGAACTAAACCAGATTTTCGTTGTATTTGTAGTTTTGGAGGGGTTGTCCGTTTATGACACGTGCCATAACTTTGTGTTTGAAGTAGTTTTGAGTGACACGTGTTCAGTCTAAACCAGGACTTAACTCATTTTGGGCAGATCTGACCCAGGACCAGCCCTGTTATTGTTGGTCTTCTCCCAGCTGTTGTAGTAACATCTGTTTTTCTGTGTTTTGACGGTTGAACTGAATTCGTCAGCAGCTCAAACAAGTCTGACTCAACAAACCCTCAACTCTCAAACGTTACTCAGACTCTGTAGGACCCAGGGGCCCCTCTTGAGGATTTCCCGGTACTTTTAAGTTTAAACACAGAATTTCCAGTATCTAATGCAGATGCTGATGTAAGTGACCCAGACAACACGGCAAAGGAACAGACACGATACTCAAAACTGATAAGAAACAATAGAAACACTCTGTATTTACACACTAGATTGTGATTTTTAAATTGTAGTACTGTACTTTTTGGACTATAAATCGCTCCGGAGTATTAGTTGCACCAGCCAAAAAAAAATATATATATATATATATATATATATATATATATATATATATTCCCCGGGAATCGAGAAGCAGTTTTGATCAGATTTCCCGGGGAGTCGAGAATCTTGTTTTGATAAGATTTCCCCGGGAATCGAGAAGTAGTTTTGATCAGATTTCCGGGGAGTCGAGAAGTAGTTTTGATCAGATTTCCCGGGAATCAAGAATCTTGTTTTGATCAGATTTCCGGGGAGTCGAGAAGTTGTTTTGATCAGATTTCCCGGGAATCGAGAATCTTGTTTCGATCAGATTTCCCGGGGAATCGAGAATCTTGTTTTGATCAGATTTCCCAGGAGTCAAGATAGTTTTGATCAGATTTCCCGGGAGTTGAGAAGTAGTCTTAATCAGATTTCCCGGGGAATCGAGAAATGGTTTGAATCAGATTTCCTGGGAATCGAGAATCTTGTTTTGATCAGATTTCCCGGGGAATCGAGAATCTTGTTTTGATCAGATTTCCCGGGAGTTGAGAAGTAGTCTTAATCAGATTTCCCGGGGAATCGAGAAATGGTTTGGATCAGATTTCCCGGAAATCGAGTATCTTGTTTTGATCGGATTTCCCCGGGAATCAAGAAGTAGTTTTGATCAGATTTCCCGGGAATCTAGAAATAGTTTTGATCAGATTTCCCGGAAATCGAGAATCTTGTTTTGATCAGATTTCCCGGGGAATCGAGAATCTTGTTTTGATCAGATTTCCCGGGAGTCGAGAAGTAGTCTTAATCAGATTTCCCGGGGAATCGAGAAATGGTTTGGATCAGATTTCCCGGAAATCGAGAATCTTGTTTTGATCGGATTTCCCCGGGAATCAAGAAGTAGTTTTGATCAGATTTCCCCGGGAATCGAGAATCTTGTTTTGATCGGATTTCCCAGGAGTCGAGAAGTAGTCTTAATCAGATTTCCCGGGGAATCGAGAAATGGTTTGGATCAGATTTCCTGGGAATCGAGAATCTTGTTTTGATCAGATTTCCCCGGGAATCGAGATAGTTTTGATCAGATTTCTCGGGAGTCGAGAAGTAGTCTTAATCAGATTTCAAGGGAATGGAGACATACTTTTGATCAGATTTCCCAAGAATCGAGACATAGTTTTGATCAAATTTCCCAGCAATCTCAGGTCCTGGGATCAAACCCTGCGTTACATGCCCCAAAATCCTGGCTACTTTCTGAAAAAAACATTAAGAGTCTCCTGGTTTCTCATAACCGGGACACTGACTCATCCGGGAGACTGAACTCAGGATATGTAAATAACCGGAATACTCAAAACTGTACACACACTCACTTTAATTTTTAGTAAATTATTGGTTATGTTTTGTTTAAATCCATTTTTTTCTTGAGTTTTCAGACAATCTACAAACTTTGCCATGTTTCCTAATGTGTAATTTCACTACAAAACAAATTTTTTTTTCCCGAGAATCGTGCACTTTGTTGATAAATTTGTAACAACGGGCATTTTTCCACACTTTTAAATGCTTTTTCTTATTAGTTTTTTAATGTGTCTGGCTTGTGTTGTCTCCCCAAAAGAGACAATTACTGAACAGAAATACAACTTTTAACATCTCCTTTGTGAATTTTCTGCTTTCGTGGAACAAAGTCGTTTTTTCTTTTTATACCGACGCTTTCAACTGGGACGATTCTGCGGCGAAATAAATGGAATCTTGTTTTTAATTTAGTCTCAGAGCAAAGTACCAAACTGAAAAATGGTGTCTTTTGGTGTTTTGTAGGTGATAATAAAGTAACATGTAAACTTGGGTTTTTAAAGGTGCATTGTGTAACTTTTCTGGTGGAGGGTCAAATGCTTTTCTCCATGGATTGTTTCACACCATAGTTAAATACTGGATAAATCCTCTTTTAGTCCTGTTTTAGACCTGTTTTTAGGACTTTTTTAGACGTAGTTTAGTCCTGGTTTAGTCTTGGTTTAGATCTGGTTTAGATCTGGTTTGGTCCTGGTTTAGACCCGGTTTAGTCCTTGTTTAGTTCTGGTTTAGACCTGGTTTAGTCCTGGTTTAGATCTGGTTTAGTCCTGGTTTAGTCCTGGTTTAGTCCTGGTTTAGACCTGGTTTAGTTCTGGTTTAGTCCTGGTTTAGTCCTGTTTAGATCTGGTTTAGTCCTGGTTTAGATCTAGTTTAGTCCTGGTTTAGATCTAGTTTAGTCCTGGTTTAGTCCTAGTTTAGATCTGGTTTAGACCTGGTTTTAGTCCTGGATTAGTCCTGGTTTAGTCCTAGTTTAGTCCTAGTTTAGTCCTGGTTTAGATCTAGTTTAGTCATGGTTTAGCCCTGGTTTAGTCCTGGTTTTAGTCCTGGTTTAGACCTGGATTAGTCCTGGTTTTAGTCCTGGTTTAGTCCTGGTTTTAGTCCTGGTTTAGACCTGGATTAGTCCTGGTTTTAGTCCTGGTTTTAGTCCTGGTTTAGTCCTGGTTTTAGTCCTGGTTTAGTCCTGGTTTTAGTCCTGGTTTAGTCCTGGTTTTAGTCCTGGTTTAGACCTGGATTAGTCCTGGTTTTAGTCCTGGTTTAGTCCTGGTTTAGTCCTGGTTTAGTCCTGGTTTAGTCCTGGTTTTAGTCCTGTTTAGTCTGGTTTAGTCTGGTTTTGGTTTAGTCTAGTTTAGTCTGGTTTAGTCCTGGTTTAGATCTAATTTTAGTCCTGGTTTTTAGTCCTGGTTTTAGTCCTGGTTTAGTCCTGGTTTTAGTCCTGGTTTAGATCTAGTTTAGTCCTCATTTAGACCTGATTTAGTCCTAGTTTAGTCCTGGTTTAGACCTGGTTTAATCCTGGTTTAATCCTCGTTTAGACCTGATTTAGTTTTAGTTTAGATCTGGTTTAGACCTGGAATTATTATTTCCAGGAGAATATTTTAATTCCAAACTATTTAATTCTGAACAATTAATCCGGAATTTAAAAAACAGGACGTAAACGTGACCAGACAAAACGACAACCTCTGCCTCTGGAAAAGGATTTGACAGACTCCAGAAACCAGAAAAGTTCCACAGTGCGTCTTTAAATCCCGTCGGTTTACCGGAATAACTACGGAAGAGGGAGCGCGAGAGGGGAACACAGAGGAGCCATTGATCCCACTCCTCCGTCGCTCCACAATCATCCTCTGTTCATTTATTACACCTCCGCTCAATCCAATATTATTTCAACATTTCCTCCTTTTTTGTTAATAAAATCTGGTGTTTTTTTTTGTTTTTTTTTTGCGGCGCAGGTGGCAGCCAGAGCCGGAGTTTACGACGTCCTCGACGGTTTGGGCTTTTCCGAGTTCGAAAACCCTCGGGACACGGCGCTGGCCCGGCTCCGTCACCGATGGCAACGGCAGGAAGTGCAGCCGCTTCCTGTGAGAGGCCAGTTCATCTGAGAAGAAGAGAGGGAAGAAGAAGAAGAAGAAGAGAGGAGAGGAGAGAGGAGGAGAGGAGAGAGGGAAAAGGAAGAAAGGAGAGAGGGGAAAAAGGAGAGAGGGAAAAGGAGAAAAGAAAGGGGCAACGGGGGAAGGAGAGAGAGGGGGGAGAGAAGGAGAGAGGGGGAAAGAAGAGAGGGATGGGACAGAGAGAGAGAGGAGTGGAGAGAAAGAAGGGAGAAAAAAGAGGTTAGAGGGATAGGAGGGAGAAGAAAGGAGGAGAAAGGAGGGAAGAAGAGAGGGGGAAAACGAGAGAGGGGAGAGAGGGAGGAAGAGAGATAGAAATGGAAAGAGAGGGGGAGGGGGAAAGAAGAGAGGGATGAGAGAAAGGGTGGAGAAGGAAGGGGGCGAAAAGAGGGATGGGAGGCAGAGAAAAGGAGAGGGGGAACGAAGAGAGAGGGAGGGAGAGAAGAGAAGAAGAAGAGGAGAGGAGAGAGGGAATGAAGAGAGGGGAGGGGTGAGGGAAATAGAGGGAGAAATGAGAGATAGAAAACGAGAGGGACATTGGGGGAGAGAAGAGAGGGATGGAGGGAGGAAGAAGAGGGGGAGTAAGGAGAAAAGAGGAGAGGGGTGGGAGGGAGAGAAGAGTGAGGAGAAAAGGGGAACGAAGAGAGGGATGGGAGGGAAGAAGAGATTAGAGAGGGGGAAGATGAGAGATAGAAATGGAAAGAGAGGGGCAGTGGAGGGGGGAGAGAAGGAGAGAGGGGGGAAAGAAGAGAGGGATGAGAGTGGAGGGTGGAGAATGAAGGGCGCAAAGAGGGAGAGAAAAGGGAGTGAGGGGGAACGAAGAGAGGAATGGGGAGGAGAGAGAGAAAAAGGGGAGTAAGGAAGAAAAGAGAGGGATTGGAGAGAGAAGAGAGGGGAGGGAGGAGGAAAGAAGAGAGGGATGGGAGAAAATGGAAGGGGAAGAAGAGGAGGGATGGGAGGAAGAAAGAGGGGGAGTGAGGGGGAAAGAAGAGCGAAAGGGGAGGGAGAGAAAAGGGGGAAAGAAGAGAGGGATGGGAGAGAGGGGGAAACGAAGAGTGAGGGAAGGGAGAGAAGAGGGGGGAGCGAGAGGGAAAGAAGAGAGGGATGAGAGTGCAGAAAAGGGTGGATGGATAGAAAAGAGTGAAAGAGCGGGGCAGTTGGGGGAGAGAAAGACCTGGGGAAAGAAGAGAGGGATGGGAGGGGGAACGAAGAGAGAGAGGAGAGAGGGAAGAGAGTGAAAGAAAAGGGGGAAGAGATAAAAAGGTAGGAAAGATTGGTAGAGGGGGAGAGAGAGAGAGAAGGATGAACGGGGATGGAAAGAGAAAGAGGGAGGACGGCAGGGTGAGAAGGAGAGAAAAAAGAGAGAGGGATGGACGGGGAGGAGAAGAAGGGAAAGAGATGGAGGGAGGAAAGAGGAGAACGACAAAGAAGGAGGGATGGAGAGAGAGGAGAGACTGTGAATGGACTAAACCAGTACTGTGCTTTTAGAAAACAAATAGAAGAAAACGAAGAAAACGATAACAATTCTTCTTATTCTCAGTTCAGTCACTCGCTGCCAATTTAGTGTTTTGTTTTTCTTTCTTTCTTTTGTTTCATTTGAAATGTTTTTATGCTGTTTAGTTTTATTTTTTTCTGCTACAAATGTTTTTTTTAGCTGCAGCAAAATGTTAAAAATTGTTAAGAATTTGGGGCCATTTTTTGCTGTTTTGTTTTATTTTGAAAAGAAGAAACATTTTGGTGTTTTAGATCTGCAAAATTGTTACTGTTTGTTTTTAGTTTTTTGTTATTTTTTTGCTAAAACTGCAAAATGATTTGTTTGTAACAGGTTTTTGTGCTGTTTTCATTTGAGTTGTTTTGATTTTCGCATTTGTTTTTGTCGTTTCCTCGTCACAAACAGACCTGGAGCTGTGTTTAGTTTCAACACACAAGTTCTCCAAGCTGTGTTCTTCTCTCAAACTGAAAACACTCTGTCCCACCTTGTGATGTCATTAAGTGGTGATACAGGAAGTGCTCCACTGTGTTTCCAAACTCCACACACCTTCACTAGAATCATTTGGATCATTCCAGCTTTTGGAATTACCCATTTTCTGTACTGGACTAAAGGTAAAAGGAGACGTTAACTTGAAAACTACCACTTCATGACATCACAAGGTGGAACAGAACATTTCGAGCTTTGAAGACGAATATAGTTAGTCGGGCTGGCGCAACCCAGTGCCTCCGTTCAGTTTCATTTCTCTCCAGCGACTAGTTCAGGAATCAGATACACTAGATCGTTCGCAGAAACCCCGGAAGTGCGAGTTCGGGCACCGGCCAATCAGAGAAGAGACAGATTCCCGAGATCGAGGATTTAAAGCCGGAACAAAGAGAATATTTGGTGAATTTTATCAACGGGAAAGACGTTATTGTCCTTCTTCAGCTCTATTCGCACGGGATTAGTTTTACCTTTGGTGATTTGTAATAATTGCGGAGGATTCCTGAGATCTTTTATCCCGTGCGAATGCTCCACGTCTGTAATTTGTAAAGTAAAAGTTTAACCGCAAATTACCTACGTTATTTCGCCAAACGCAGACGTCCGGTGATAATACTACAGTAGTCCCGTACGAATCTACATCCCAGTGTCTCTTTCTTTTCTTTCCGTGTTCTTTTCCCTTTCAATCTCTGCGTTAAAGGTTGTATGGAGGATTTTTTTTTTGTTTCAAATTGTCAATGAAAGTTTAAAATACCATTACAGAGACGCAGCAGCCTTGTAATTATGATCAAAAAAAAAAAAAAAAGAATGAAAATTGATCAGCTGTGGACGTGTTGAGGCCAGATAAACATCAGCCAATAGAAAACGAGGCTGCCTCTTTATCTATTGGCTGTCAGGTCATCAATCAAACTCCCTACGTTTCTAGTGTAACTGACTCGTCGGGATGCGGGGATCACGTGGTTTATGCAGCGGTTCTTAGAGGCTTTTTCAAACTGTAGCTTCCTCACATTTCGCACAAAGTTTGTTGAGATGTCGGACGAGAATCCAGGATCAGTTCGCCGCGAAAGAAAGTCGGTTTTTGAGGTCGCTGAAAGAAGAAGAGAAGGGGAAAAGGAGCGAAGACAAACCGAGGTGATTCTCGGAGATTCCTTTCAGCGATTGCGCGAATGAAGCGGACGAAGGGTCTAAAAACTGACGCGTCGGTTGCTAAATTATTTCTAGACAGGTCACTTCAACAGTAATTCTGAACGCGCACTGGCTGTAAAAAAAAAAAAACGTGATTTCTAGAGTAAAGAGGCGGGAGGAGGTGTTTCTACTTGTGTGGAGCTGTGGAGGATGAAGGTGGTGTCGCGCATGCACAACATTTGTAAAAGAGTTGTCGCTGTATTTCTCTTCCCTTAAAAAAATCCTCTATACAACCTTTAATGTCAGTAAAACAGAGTAATTTACGGGACTTCATTTATCCCTTGTGAGTGCTCTGTAAGTAACACAGTGGTGGGGCGGTAATTTGGCAATTACCGGACGTCTCGAGGTTGTACTTATCCCGAGCGAGTAGGGCTTTCCTGCGGGATTTGGAGCATTACACACGTCACGACCCAACAGCAGCGATTGGTTAAATAAAAAAAGTACCCGCTTACTGTCGAGCGAACGAATCCTAATGCTGCGAGGTCAGACTGTTTCCTCAAAGTGAAACCGGCCAATGAATCAGGCTAGTTGACAGTAGGAATGTAACAATAACCGAAATATCGTGATATCGTATCGTCAAAAGTCTCACAATAACATCGTGGACCATCACAATATATCAAATCTGAAGCTCCTTTGCTTAAAATGCATCGTTTTATAGCAGCAACAGCTCATAAACATAGAGAACTACATTTCCCATGATGCATTTCAGCGCAGACAACATGAAGAAATACGTTTTTTACTTGAATTCTCGGGATTATGACGGAAATCATTCATACCAAAATCTTGTCAAGGTATTTTAGAAGCAGAAAAGTGTCCCATCTACAATTATATCAGCCTCTTCAGAATATCGTAATAAATATCGTATCGTGAGATCTGAATATCGATAAAGTGTTTACTCAAACACGAATGAAACAAAACACAACTCCAGGTCTGTTTTTGACGAGGAAACAACATTAAAACCCGACTTAAAGCTCACAAGAGTCAATTTTGCGTAATTTAGGACCTTTAAAAATTAGTTTGTTCTAAAATTTTCTTCAAGGTTTTTATTAATTACTAAAAATGTGTCTTTCTTTTTAAAATATTTAGTCAATGAACTCAAAAGTACAAAGGTTACTCATCGGTCATTTTTAAGAATAGACAAATTTGCCTTGTGTTTTTAAAAAGAGAAACGCGTCGCCTTCTATTGCTCTTGTGTTTTTACATTTTTATGCGTTTTTAAATTTGTATCTCGTTTGTAATATTCTGCCTGTTCTGACGGTAATTACACGTACTAATGCTATTTTTGATTTAATTTAAAACCACAGCAGCAGCTTTTTCTGATTTCCTGGAAAAAAATAGTGTTTGCTTTTATTGTCCGTTTCGAAACATTTTGTATTGTGTAAATAAAATAGCTGTAAATTGTAACTTGCCTTAAAGTGGAAATAGAAATAAGACGTGTTGGGTTTTTATTTCATATTAACATGATTCATTGGTTCAAAAAAATCCAAATTGGTATAAAAAATGTGTCTTTTTTTTTTTGTAGCTGTTTGAAATGCCAGTGTTTGTAAATGCAGAAAGCTTATTTGTCCTATTTCCATATTTTTTTCCATGCTTTGCAGCTGATGTTCAAGTTTCTCGGGGTCTTGTTCTCGAGTGGGGGAAGGATGGAGCGTGAGTAGAAAACTGTCGCTGTATCGGACTTTTGTGGTGAAGAGGAAGCTGAGCCGAAAGACGAAAGCTCTCAATTTACCGCTCAGTCTACACTACCGGTCAAAAGATTTAAAACACCACGTTTTTTCCAGTTTCTGTCTCTTTCCGTTTACTGTTGACCAGAGGTGGGGACTTGCAAGTCGTGATTTGGACTTGAGGTAGATTTGCGTCACTATTTTTAGGACTTGAG